GATTGTCTTAGATATGTTATTTTGTTGCGAATGAAAACAGAGAGATTTGATGATTGTTCTTAGAACGGCTCCTATCTATTAATATATATCTTGAAAATCAAATTTTTTGTTTAGTTAATTTGAAATAATTTTGATTTTTGTTTGTTCTCTATATGTTATGCAGTATGGCTATTCAAGCTGTAAAAGACATGATCAACAAAGTGGACAGCGACATAAACCTTATGATCTCCGATGGTGCAGATATCAAATACCCTATTGCTTTTCACCTATTGAAAGATAAGAAAAAATGAGCTGGTTCATGATTTGATTCAAATAGGTGAAAGAATTAGCAATGTGTACAAGCAGCTAGGAGTGGACGTTCCAAAAGAATTCATAGTACTTGAGGTCTTATTAAATTAGTAGTATATTTGTAACTTACCATGCCTTGGATTAGTGAATGAGTGATGATTTCTAAATTAGTTACTACTATTTACTCGTGAGCTCCTTTCTCACTTCTCTAAAACATTTCACGATTTTATTACGATTCAACTTAGCTTTCATTCGGTCCTTTTTTTGTCTTATCTTTTTGACATTTGCATGTAGTCACTTCTCAAATCTCTTATCGTTGCTACTATTTCTACATTTTTTTCCAGAACAATCCATCATAATCATATTGTATTCTTTTTATTTGTGCATGGATGATACTTGATCTACAGAAACTTAATACCAATTTCTCTGTCTCCAATGTAATACAATGACACAAGAACACACTAATGTGCCTTTATTTGAGATTTGAAATATGAATGATCTAAAGCTTGCTGGTTGGTAAACCAACAGGCTTGGCTCTGGACCTCTTCTCCACAACACGAGAGAGTTGCTTCACCGCTTCTTTAGGCAAATGGCGAGGCTTGCTTAGCCACAATCCTGAATCTACCACCATTGTCGAGCCGTTCACATATTTCCCTGTTAACCCACCAAATCACGTATATGTTACTGTTATATTTCATCTGTCTACCGTCACTATGTTTCGTATAGAAAGAGTAGTGTGATGCAGTCGCATACCGGAATCGCAGCTTAAGTAGATTGCAGCCATGGCGATATCCCACTTCTCACCAAGTTTATAGAGAGGCATGTAATCTCGAGCTTTACTTTCAATCTCCTCTGGTCCAAGTTTACTCATTCCAGGTGTACCTTCAATGGGACCTGGTGCAATCCCGTTCACTCTAATCTCGTAGTCAGTTCCCCACTCCAATGCCAAATTTCTTGTCGTAGCATCAACCGCAGCCTGTTACAAGTTTTCCAAAACCTAAGTTCCCATTTGCTACATTCGATTATTCCTATTGCTACAATAGCATTACTTAGTTCTTGATTTCCCTAACCAAAACCTGGACTTGAGCAAGACTAATTTTAATTTACCTTGGCTGCAGAGACATGAATTTGGTACCAAGAAGCAGTGTAATGCAAAGTAGCACTTATGTTAAGAATCGAACCGCCGCTCGATGAGTCTTCTCTCCCAGGCCCTCCTTTCTTAAGATACTTGAGCGCTTCACTGCACATTGTGAATGTTCCTACTGCATCAATGTCCAAAACTGCACAAGAGAAATGTTTAGAGAAACACTCAAATTGGCATACAAATTTCTTAAACCTTTTATCAAAATTGATGATCCATTACGAAGAGTGAAACCTGTTCGGAAGCCATTGGGAGACAAATCCTCCGCTGCTGCTAGAAAATTCCCAGCGGCGGAATTAACAAGAATATCAATCCTACCAAAATGCTTAAAAGTTGATTCCACTACTCTTCTCGCATCCTCATGCTTACGAACATCACCTTCCAATCCAATAGCCTTTATAACAAGGAGAAATCAACAAGCAATCCCAAAAATCCATCGAAAATCCTCAGAACTAGATGAACAAAAACTCTCGGATCGAGAAATGATTTACCTGAATTCCAAGAGATCGGAGAGCGGAAACGGCGGCGTCGAGAACTTGTTTCCGGCGTCCCATGATGGCGATTGAAGCTCCATGTTTACCGAACTGAGAGGAGATCTCGAAACCGATTCCGGATCCACCGCCGGTGATGAGAGCCACTCTGCCTTTAAGCGCATCGGGCTTGAACGGAGACTCCATAACCACCACACGCAATTCGCTAAATGCTAAGGACAAAATAAAATTAGCCACTAACGTTTTTCCTTCTACTCACTTCCACCTACCTACTGCCAAATTTGATTATTTGTTATCCCATTTAAAGCAAAAACAGAAAGCAAAAAAACAAATATTTATGATTTTTTTCTATTATAACAATTTTTTTTCCAAAACAATTTTTTATTGACGAAAACGAGTGAAATTCACCGTTTTTTTTTTATTATTTTGCAAACGATTTATAAGGTTTTAATTTTTGGGATTACATTTTATTTAGAGTAAACTTTAATATTTTTGCCACATGAAAGTATGGGTAAATATTTCTTTGACTGATAATTAAGGCATAAAATCTTTTAATCATTATCAAAAAAATTTTAAAAATGGAAGATAATCGTAGATAGCATAAATTAATTTAAGAAAAATTAGTACTAATAATAAAAAATTATAATTAGCAAATTAACCAAAAGTACTTCATGTGGCAAAATCATATCCATATATTTTAGGTTTTTTTTGTTAGATTGCCAATTATAATATTTTTGTTGGTTATTACATAAATTAACCTAAAATTTAATAAATTTTCATAAAATGTTGT